AAGTATTATCAGATAATTCGCACGTAGTTGAAATAACTTAACGACATTTGTTTAACGATGTTGAATGCTGTTTTGCAACTGAGTTTTTTAAATGTATGAAATATGATCCTAGCGGAAAATCTGACTAAATTATTATTATCTAAAAAAAAATTATTTGTGTCTCATTAACCTCAATTTAATTTTCTGTGCTTATATTGCAGTAATATATGGCATAATGATTTTTCAAGCCGTGAAAATATTAGACCAAGCATGTCTAAGTATCTATTATATTAAGGCGAAAATAACAGGTAACCTTTTTGACTGGGAACTGCGGTATAGTTGAAGAATGTATGTTGGTGCTTTGAGTATCTAGCAGACAATTTTTTTTTCTCTTTATTAATTTTTATTTCTTAATACTCTTACGATATTTTCGGATTCTAAGGCTAAGTTTGAAGCATATGTTTTTATTTGCTGCCTTTTATACAAAATGATAAAATTCGACTTAAAAGCGAATGCAAATAAATATAAAATTCGACGTTCGAAGTGGTGTATAATGGACGCAAAATGACTATCTAATATTCTTAAATGACAATGATAGGCCTAAAGAAATGATTGCAAAGGAATTAGATTCAATCGATGCTCCACATATTTAGTAAAAATATATTTAAAACTTAGAAAAAGGGAAGTTCGGGACATTTTCTTCGGAAGCAAAAGTTTTTTACTTCTGAAGAACGGAATTTGTTTTCGATCGCTCTCGAAGTTTTAAGAACGCTGAACAAGATTACTCTTCAGAAGCACTTCTCTTCATAGGTACTTCTTCAAGAGAAAAAAAAAAAAAAAACTTGTTTGCTCTTTAAGAGAGAATCGGACATAGATCTGTCTTCAGGATAAAAAAAAAAAAAAAAATGCTGTTCGGACATCGGTTCCATGATTCATGGGACATCGGTTCTCTGATTCAGGGAACTCTATGATTCAGGGACTATTGCTTCAGGGAATAAAACTTTTTTTTGGTCTTCGAGAGCGTGATGGGATATAAGTCGTCCTTCAGGAGGGGGATGCTTTTTAGGAGTGCGATCGGACACGTCTTCAGGAGCAACAAAAATTCTACACTTCTGTAACGCTGCAGATCCTTTATCCTGTTTTAGGAGCAAAAAAATGTTTTGCTTTTGAACAGGTCCGACCACCTTCAATTTATTGGACTGGGTTTGATTTTATTCAGTTTTATTCAATGTCTGCTGCAATGTACGATCTTATGTCGGATCGTCGTGAATATTGATTTTATTCTATTTATTCCGCTGCATTCGATTTTGTTCAGAACTTATGCCAATCTAAGACGGCAGTTTTATATCATTTCAAATTCTACGTTGGCGTGTTTCTCTTTAAGTTAGATGTGAAGCTCTGTTTTTAACCCTTTGAAGGCCAAAGCGCGCGAGACGACTCTTCATTCAAACGACCACAACCGCTCGTAACGGCCGAGATTGCTATGCTGTTTTTTTGCCCTTTTCCTAAGGTGCAGTTTCTCCAAATACATTGTATTAGTTTATTGCAGACAGCTTGTCCTAAAAGGCTAATGGAAGCTTCTTTCTTAGGAAATAGGAAGGATGTTATTTAAATCTTCACACATCTTTGTGCGTTAATGGATGGGTAGGGGAAGAAACAGACGACCCGGGTAATGGCGTTTCAGTATTTTAAGCATACAGGTTAGCGAAGGTTTCGGTTTTCTAAGGGTTAAATACCTGGAAATAAACTTCTTCGACAAATTTATCGTATTTAGTTCATGGATTCCTTATTCTAGCGAAACAGATAATGCCGCAGGAAAGAAATATTTGTGAAATTAACACACAGCCACGTGTTGAATATAAATCTTATTAGACCAGAGATTTGTGCAGCTATTAAATAAGTGTGTAAATTTCCTTATTCCATTATTTCTTCATTTTAAAACGGTTAGCACTTTTTACCCTTTCATTTGGCTGTGACTTGTTGAACAATTCGTTTTAAATATATTATGTTTTTATGTTCTCTCTCTTTAATCACTGGGAGACTCATTCTTAAACAAGTTGTCATATCGTAACTATCTAGTTTAAAATTATTCTCAGGCGTTAAATTCAAATCTGCGTAGTAAGCAGAGATGGCAGTTTCTCTTTAATCTCATAATAATTTTTATATTTTTTAATATTTGTCTTTATTTTTTAAAATTTTGATGCTAAATATTTTAGGAGTTACACTTTAATCTGAAATATTCAGATACCATTTTTTTCTCTCCTGCAGACTTTTTAAATGCTAATTATAAATTAATTGCTCGACAAATGCTAATTGCTCAGCTTAAAAAGTCGAAAAGTCTTAGGGTTTGTAATCAACCATTTTATTTCGAAAACAGCCACCTCAGGGGAAATTCACGAATTAATTCTAAGAGTTAAATATTTAATGCATTAATCAACTAATTAATCCATTTTTGTATTTTCATTTTAAGGGAAATACACTTTGCAATGATGCATATTTTTTCTTTGAGAAAATGAGGAATTCATAAAAAGTATTTTGTTAGGAAAGACTGATAATCATGAAAAATTTCGAGATATGATCACATTATGCTCTTTTGGTTTCTTTCGAACTCAAGTAGTAAATTACTTGTACATTTAATTACGCGCATTTAAGTTGTGTGAGTACTTAGGATATAGATAATTTCATCAAAGATCTTTCTTCTGAAATTTCATTTATTTCTCAAGAAGCTCCAAAGCTCCATGGAAATCATTGGGAAATTTAATTCTTGCTGCCTACTGTTGCAGAGCTTAAATGGCGCCGGAGCCCTAAATAAGAAGGCTCCGGTACTTCTTTTATGGAATTGAACAACAATTTCAGTAGAAATTTGATCTCGAAAATTTTATTTTTAGCAATAAAATTATATTAAAGTTACTTATTAAATTTATTAAAATTAGAGATAAATTTAAAAAAAGACAAAAAAGAAAATCTAAAAGGTTTCAGATTTTAAATTACGTCAAAGGGTCATTTTTTTAATATTTTGTGTGTTACCATTACTTATTAAATATCCTGTTCTTTGCACTTAAACCATAAAATTCAGTTCAACAGCAATATTGCAAAATAATTTTAAATTAAGCATATTTTTTTAGTATTTCCTATGCACAGTCTCACGCGCTGGAGATAAAAATATTTTTCTGTACAACGTTGCCATTGCTCGCTTCGAAATCGTAGAGTTTGTTAATTAAAAATTCGTTAAAGTTTTACAAAATATGAAATCGATAATGAAAGAAATTTCAAATTTGGGCTTTCAGGTGCCCATATTCGGAGTAGGATTACGTCATTCAAAATTGGATGGCTCTAGGTACCGTTGTTTTAACACAATGCGAAAAACATACATACATTTATACACATTCTTCATTATTTAATTTCTTCAAAATATAATACAGGGCGATAATATTTGGTAGCAACAGTTTGAAAAGTGAAACGGGCATTCAGAGTGATTCGACTCAAAATCGCAAAACGAAAACAATAGTCCCTCAGGGACAAAGCCCCTTTGGACTAATAATCTATTATATATTTAATGTAATAATTTTATTAGATTAATAAATTATATTTACAATCACTAAAGAAAGAAATTTTAATATATTTCTTTAATTATTAACCCTTTAATCATTAATTATTTTAATGATTAATGATTTTATTTAATTTATTTCTTCTTGTTCCTCTTTCCTGAGGGTCTACGGTAGGGCTCCGGATCTTCTAATTTTAGAAATTAAGCCGTGGCTGTTCAAACACCATTCGAGAAAATCCTTTTATCATAACAGTGTATATTTTTGCGTCGGAACGTTGCCATGACATAGTCACAAAGCACATTAAATAAGTGTGAATATATTTATTAAAAATCAATAAAATGAAACCTTTAATTCTTTATTTATTTCTATTCTTATATATTTGTAGTGGTCCTCCCCTTTTATCTATTAACTAAGTGTGGAGGCACCTAGTGAACATACTAAGCGAATAATCACTTAAGTCCAGAAACAGAAACGTAAAACTCTAAAAGGGTTAATTACTATTTATTACCCAAACTAAAGGTGTAGAGATGGTCCCTTTCTCAGGACGTACAACAAAGCCTCCACTTGGGCTTGAACTCAAAAATATAAGAATTAAGAACTTAACTAATAACTAACTAAAGAGATTTAGCCGAAGCTAACACAATTTCTAACTAGTTGGCCCCTAATAATAAATTATCTAGTGAAGCTATCAAGGGCACGTGTAATACGACCGAGCGTAGTACCAGCTTAGAGAGACGTAACACAAAGGCAAACGCGCGCTATTCAGGGTATCTAAATCTCTCTACCGAAGTCAATGAAACTTCGACTTAAATACTACCTTTTCTCATTTGCATTTAACGCGATTCTAAAAACTCATTCTGGTAAGGAATTGTAAGCTGAAATTAGGAGAGGTAGGAAAGTGTGACAAACTTAAAAATAACTGTTATAAATTTAGGATAAACCTTACACATTAGATTATTTTGAAGCAGGAAAGTGAAAAATGAGCAATGCCCTCGCCTGTACTCGAACCTGGATCTCTCGAATACGCGCCGAGTGTGCTACCGTTACACCACGAAGGCATGCAGATAGAAGGGAGGGAAAAAAAGCCTTTCATATTCCCCCCTTCAAAGGGCGACTGGGGATTAGCTGACCCAATCACCAAATCCTGGCGGTGGAGAATCATCATCTACCACCTTTCAGTTCAGGCGCCACTGTAGAGTCATTAGGTTATTCTGAAGTAGGAAAGTGAAAAATAAACAATGCCCTCGCCGGGACTCGTACCGGACACCCACCGTTACACTACGAAGGCATGCAGAAAGGAGGCAGAAAATACCTTGCACATTATATGCTGAATGATTTTAAACATATAAGTTTAAGATGTGGTGCTCCAAATCTTAGAAGCTGTATTTAGATGCTTTATTTTTAGTTTGCATGATAATATTTGTAATAGTATTACATTATAAAGGTAGTAATATATTTCCTTATTTCTTGCAGGATCATTTAAAATGGATGTGTTAAACATTTCTCTATTGGGGAAGAAAACTGGATGAAATATTTCCTTAAAGACAAAGCGTAAAAAGTTAAACGTAAGTTCCTTTCTACGTTTAATAAGGTGTTTGAAAAGGTGGTTATAGGCTTTGTTTCGTGAGATATTTACCGTAGATATGTACTTCAAATTGAAAATGTTTTTAAAATAAGGTAGAAAGCTTTACAAAAACAGTTTGTGCATTAACAATAGGAGATACTTTAGAATATTTTTTTCTATAATATTTGTGACGGATGTTATATACTTTATGTAAACACTGTAAAATACAGTATTTAGGTAGTGTATTGCATATGCATTCTATAATATAAAAGGCGACATACCAAGAAGCAGTTATCAGAATGGGACGAAAATCGACAGATGTGATGCACATGCGTTGAAAACAAAACTCTAACAGTATTATACGAATTGAGTGTTTTATTCAGGAAACACAACTACAAGAGAAAAAACAAATCATTAATACGTCAGCTCATTTCTGGCCATGATGCAATCTCTCATCCGGTGGGTAGAGTTGGAGAATGTCCTCCTGCGAGACTGCGATATGTTCCAATTTACCAGCTAGATCGGCGCGATTCAGAGAAAGTTGTAGATGCCTGTTCATCAGAATCCAAACGTGCTCTATTGGGGAGAGACTTAGCCAGAGAAATGCTGGAGAGGTATTAGTACGTATATTAAGCGTCAAGTATATTAGGCGTCTGAGCTTACTCTATGCTAGCAAAGAATACTAAACTCTTAAGTATTTTCTCAAAGGCCTCCCATTAATGATCAGCATGAAATATAAGCTGAAATATAGCGTAGCATGGTAGGTGATGAAATTAAATTTAATGAATGAATTTGCATGAAAAACCTGAATTTTCTAACTGGACGTGAGAGTAAAGCGTCTATAATTAAAATAAATTTTTTATCTTAAGTGTATGTATATTAGACGAAGTTTCTTCCTATTGCAGCTCAGTGTAACTGAATGACATTTGTCATCATTATTTTCTGACATTTTACGGTGAGCATATTTCACAATTGCACATCTGCGTAGCCACCGAAGGAGTGGCTTCTAGGATGGACCAATGGGCATCCAGTAATATTTTTGTCATGTCACATGACCTTTCGCTTGCTTTAAGATTTAAGCAAGATGGTGGAAAATATTCTGCCACGCAATTTTCTGTACAATATAATTAAAGCATCGTCGATTCCTTCTGAAAATTTTTATTGCGAATGTAGATCAAATATAAGCAATTGTGAAGATTTCACTACCTGCTTGAAAGAATTTGAAATGAATACAAACACATGCTGGATACTCCGCAAAAATATCCATGTAAAATATTACTTCATAAGTTGTAAATAAGATGAGGAAAGAAATATGTGATAAACATCTGAGCCCAAATGCTATCTTTACATGAAACTAAGCATATGAGAAAAATATTTACACCAATTATATATGTAAATACATGTCAGCAATTTTTATTGCAGTCTATATGAAAAAGATGTTCTATAATAATAGCCAATGTAGAATTTTATTCAAAGTGAACATTACAAATTTGCATTCGTATACATTTAGTGTGTTAAATTTCTCGTTTAATAACTGCTCACTCTTAAATGTGCTGTCTACACAAGAAATGCTCACCAAAACAGAATGAATTTATGTTATTCGCAAAGAATATATTCAGTTTATTCACATATAATTTTTAATGTTAACAATGGATATAACCAGACCATACACAATATGTATTCTGAATCTTACACTTTAAAAATCAAAAGAATGCAAGCACTGAAATAAGAAAACACTAGATTCATTGTAACACTTACAGTCCTTCTGAACTCAATTAAAAAAAAAAAAAAAAAAAAAACTATACACTTGAATTCTGTGAATCCACAGGTGTTAGTAAATACATAATATTCGAGGCTAATTATAGCTCGAATCATTTTCTCAATGTAAAGAGCAATAATATGCTGTGAACATCAATCCAAATATTAATGCGAGATAAAAATCGCGAACGTGAAATATCAGAAATTAATTAAACTCATAAAATGAAAGCACAACGAGATTTTCTACTATTACGTTCTACATTTATAACTGCGAAACATGCAAGTTAAAACATAAACAACATACGCTCACATGCACGAGGATTTAGTGTCACAAGAGTAATAGAAGCTCATTGGTCCATTTTCGAAACCCCTCCTCCAGTGGCTACGCTGATGTACACTTGTGAAATATGCTGACGGTGAAGAGGATCCACTGTCAATCTACCTTTAAAATTCCAAGAATGTCCAAAAATGTCCTTTGAAAGTTTTAGAATATATAATAAGTATAGCTCTGCAAAATATATTTAGAATATGTAATAACTATATTGCGTATTATTTCAACTATACATACATATATGTATATATATATATATAGCACGAAAACTACATGTATGTAGTTCTATATATAAATAGTTCTGTTTTTCTTGTAATAATCTTATTTCTGGATGTAATATTTTCCCGTTATAGCACCTTAAAACGTAAAAAGCTGCTTTCAAAAACGATTTAGAAAAAAGCATTCAAATTGATTTCCGAGATAAAATCTTTCCACCTTTTACGCGGTGGTCGGCAGTTTGTAGTCTTTTAGAGTCCCATTAAATGTGCTTCACTTTTTCCTCCCGCCATTAAAAATGGAAGAGAAAGAGATATATAAATAAATACTCCACAAAAATGCTATCTCGGATACAAAATCGCTGAGGTTCCTTTTAACTAAGTTTAATTGTTCGCGGCTGGATGTTAGTAAGAACGCATTAAAATGAATAATACATAAAAAAAAAAGATGGCAATGAAACAGGTGCTCTTTTAAAATAGCTGAATCGATAGCCGTGACGTTGTCATGACAACGGAGTGACCCTGTTTTCCGACCAAAGAAATCCGCTGCATCCTCGATTCGCTCTCCACTCTCTTTGGAGAATTCTATTTTTCTCTCTCCATTCCTATTTCAGTGATGTAAGGGAAGGATACGAAAAGTAATGCATAGGCCTATTTAAATCCCGGATTGCTATTTCGCCTTGGATGGGTTTATATTTCACTGGAGTTGTAAGTTTTTATATACTGAACATTTGTTTGAGCAATGGAGTGCTGTTTTTTTCCAAAAAAGGTTTATATTTCTTAGAAATTATAGTTTCTATTGAACATTTGTTTCACGACTACAACAGTTTTCAGATGGGTACAGTAAAACATCTTTCAGAAGTTCTTATTTAAGAAATTTTCCCATTTTAGAAGTTTATTTCACAAAGTTCCAGGCATTTTCCTGGTTTAATACCGTCAGTTCCCGATTAATTCCAAGTAATTGTGCACGGTTAACCCAAAATTACAGTTAATCTAAGAACAGGTAGAAAAAGTAAGGGATGAGGAATATATTCATATATCAAACAGAAAAATACTTTTAACGAAAAAAAATCGCGCTTAATTGTAAGGAAATTAGAAAAAAAGCACAGGAAAGGAGGATTGAAGCATATTATAAGTAATCGGAAAATTCTGTCATCCCTTTACCTATATTTTCAAGCAGCTTAATCTGGAGGGGTAATTTCATTTGACTGCCTAAATTAAATTCGTATTCAAAATAAAAGATCTGATGCGTACACCACATGACTTCCCTGTACGGAATATTAAATTATACGCATTTTTTCTTGCATTTCATTTTAACTTATTAGATTGAATTAAATTTACTTCGTCGATAGCGCATAAACCACAATAGAATAAATGCACTCTTTAAACTTCACTATATTTGTTTATCATAGCGACACTCTGATGCTAGGTTCATTTACTAGCGTTACATTTCGTTCATTTTATAACTCAGAATGCATATAAATTTATATCATCTGAAAAATTATCTAATCGTTGCCATATGTTTTATTCCAATATTGTAACAAATCTAAAACGACGTATAAAAAGAAATTAAGCAAACAAAATAAAAAAAGAAACAGTTTTTCACAGACGATTCAGTATTTCTCATTCAATTAATTCAGTTCTCACTTCCCGACAAGGCAAAAATACACAAAACTCAAAATATCTATATTAAAAATTACGAAGTAAATCTGAAAAACTTATTTCATCGAATAATTTCCATAATGGATTAAGCATTATTAAATTCACAATAATAAAAGAAGGTGTTATCTGTGTTGTTGCGAGGCTTAGTTTCTCTAGATTGGCAACAAATCCGCTATTTTGCCAAGTTTGAAATGTAAACAAACATGTCCGCCATCAACAAAATTCATTAGGCTTAGCTGCATTTAAACAACTTTTAAATTGTTGATAACTCCACAAATATTGCATGCAGATTTACTAAAGGCATAAAAACCTTAACCGGAAGATAAGAACAGCATAATTCAATCGTTTTTAAAGCAACAAATTGCACAATGTACAAAATTATAAGAATAAAGAAACTGAGCTCACTGAGCCGAGTAACAGAGTGGATATATATATATATATATATACTCTTTGGTGCGGCCGATTGCAACCAAAATACGAGGTGCACATCTATATGTTATAGCAGTCCTACATACCCCAAAATTTCAGCGATATGAAGTCGAGTGATAAATCGAGTGATAATCGAAGAAGATTAGTCTAATGTTTAGACTAGGTCAGATTATGTTCAGTTTTATACATCTAATCTTACGGAATGTCTAACTGAAATATTCGATTTTCTACCGCGGACTCTGTTTTTAAGAATTGAACAAAGGCACATTTGTTATGAAAGAGATGTAACAGACGGTGAATGTCATCGCTCATGACACGCAGTCGAGTTTTCATACACATTTCAAATCCATTTTTAAAATAACGTCTTGAGTACAAACGCACTTTTCTGCTAGTTACGTCATTTATATGCTTGATGCTGCTAAATAAGTGCAGAATTTTTTACCTGGGAGAGGATCTACTTGACAGTTTGTTTTTCTGCGAAATGTCGAACTCATATCTCTTCACTCATATCCTTACTAAATCTCCTTCATCTATCACCAGTGTATTTCTGCTCGTTTGGACTTTTAAAAAGGGGGTTGTCCAGAAGTTGACTTAACAACCTTCTTA